AGCCAAGATTTAGCCTTTTGGAAAGTGAAGAAGCAGCTACCATCATCTAAGGTCTCGGCACTCTATGATCTGAAGTGAGATGTGGTGCTAACATGTGATGCCTCTCCTTATGTATTTGGGTAGTGTTGGTTCACACATAGCCCAATGGAGAGGAACACCCAAACAGAGAAGAAAGGTTTGGCAGTCATCTTTGGTGTGAGAAAGTTACACCAACACCTTCATGGATGTAATTTTTTGGTAGTGACGGACTGCAAACCCTTGCCAGGGCGAACTAAAGAGGATAGGGCCATACCACCCATAGCTTCAGGTGGAATTCAGAAGTGGGTTTTCCTTCTGAGTGTGTACAATTACAAGTTGGAACACCATCCAGGAGGTCAAGTGCCAAATCTGGATGCCTTGAGCCACCTCCCACTGTCACATACACCACCAGTGGTGCCCCCACTGGAAAAGTCCTTTTTTTTAAACTTTCTGTACACCCTTCCCATCCCTGCTGAGAATTTCTGACTGTGGAAACTGAAAGATCCCATCTTGGCAAAACTAAAACAGCTGGTGGTGATAGAAGAAACAGAAGTCCCATCACAACCAGAATTGAAACATTTTTGAATCTGGCGAGTTCAGATCACAATAAAGGACGGTGTATATTTTGCAGAGAGAAAGAGTGATTGCCTCCAAATGTCATTGCTTGATACTGGCTGAACTCTACCAGGGTCATCTAGGGGTTTCTAAAATGAAGATATTGGCTACAGGTTATGTCTGGTGCCCAGGATTGGATGCTGACATCACTGCTTTGGTGGGGCAGTGCCTAGAGTGCCAACAAGGACACAAATTGCCACCAGCAGCTCCCTATCTTTGGGTAAACCCTAGATTTGGTTCCATGTCAACTATGGCAGTCCTTTCATGGTCTGTATGTTTTTAGTCATTGTGGATGCCCATTCAAAATGGTTGGAGATGCATAGAAATCATTCATAAAATTCGAGTATGTCCTAAAGTCGAATGGAATTTGGCATGTAAGGACAGTTACATACCATCCATTGTCGAATGGTCTGGTGAAACAGCAGTCCAAACATTGAAGGAAGGCTTAAAGAAACAGACTACAGCTTCACTTGATACCAAACTTTCCCGGTTCCTGTTTGATTATAGGACCATCACTCACACAACTGCAGGCACAGCTCCAGCAGAGTTGCTAATGGAGACTCTACACCAGGTTAAACCTAATCTTCTGGGCCTGGAGAAGAGTGAAATGGCATCAGGAATGCCAAAGCTGGACACAAGGCTCCTTTAAGCAAGAGAGATAGTTTTGATCAAAGGGCAAGTTTGGGGTCAAAATCATGGGAATGGCCCTGCATGGGTAAGACACATGGTTGACATGAGGTCAGGTCCTGTGATATACAATGTTGGTGTAGGTGAGGCAGTCCTGAACAAGCACATAGACCATATGAAAGCTGCAACCTTGCAAATGGGGCAGGAGCAAAGCATAGCCGGCCCCTCAGAATATCCGCCAAGGCTGTCAGAACCCATGGGTTCTCCACTTCTGCCTTGCGTCAAAGAGGACACGGCAAATGTTGCAGCCTCAACACCATTACTGCCTGAAGAAGAAGATGAGTTTCAGCTGAGATGCTCCAAGTGTAAGAAGTGGACTACACTGTGGTGCACGCCACTAGTATCTGAGGCAGATTTGGAGGAACCAGACCTGGTGTGAAAATGCCCCAGTGGAAGCTGCAGGATAAAGAACAGGCCTATGGGTCAGCCAGGTGGATCTCATAGAATATGAGTTCCCTAATTGAAGCTGATAATCTGGACTGATCAGAGAGTCCTCGCTGACGGATATAAACAGGAGCGTCAGTGGTTCTGTTCACTCAAGGAGCCAGCTCTGTGCTAGCTCGTGAACTGTACACGTGTGGAAAATGGGTGTCTTGTTGACGGGATACCAGCCTTTGTGGAATTACTTTAAACATTACAGGTTATAAACACAAAGTGCTGGAGAAACTCAGCAGGTCTAGCAGCATCTGTGGAGAGAGAGAAACAGAGTTAATGATTTGAGTCCAGTGACCCTTCATCTGAACAGGACCTGATGAGTTTTCCAGCAGTTTCTGTTCTGTCTTATTCTGTCTCATGTTCCATAATATTTAAAACTCCCATACCCAGGCAACATCTTGGTAAATCTCCCTCTGCACTCTCTCCCAGTGTTATTGCATCTCTTTGTGAATATGATTTCCAGAACTGCACACAATATTCTTGCTGTGACGTTTTACACAGTTCCAGAAAACAGATGGAGATCATGACATTAATTGATAATGTTCCATAAAACATCTCTCCTGGTGGTCAAGGAGTCAAAATATGAACATAACAATACCCATTCAAACATATCAACTGAGAGCAGCAGCTAATCCCAACACAGTTTCTACATTCCTGCTGTGATAACCACTTTAAGGGCTATATGGAATCACAAATTCATCTCCCTGTGGATCGCATTGAATATGAGTTCCCATGGTAACAGGCAATGGCCTGTCAGTTGGAACTCATCACCTGACCCCTTTATAAAGCAGACCTCCTGCTCTTCTTCCTCAGTTATATTTGTACGTGGGTGTCATTGCAGGGGGAGCATGTGGTGTCTATCAATGCTGCTGATGCCTTTTAGAGAGGTGGGCACTGTGGGGGTTGGAGTGCTTTATTTCCCCCTCCAACTCCATTCTGATTTAGTTCCCTCCCTCTCTCTCTACACCCCTCACTTTTTTGATGTCAGCATTGCCCCTAACAGGCTTTGCTTGCTAATATACAATTAGGCACCTGGGTGTTTTCCTGGTGATGGAAAAATACATACATAATAAATTCCATTTGTAATGATGTCTTTTCTTTCAATCTCACTATATCTAAAAATACAGGAAACAACTACATACAAAAGCATGGATGATTTGGAGAAAAAAGAAAATAAAGGATACTATTAGGCAGAAAAAAGAAAAAGAAAAAGTCAGCCCCTCTGGGGGCCTCTTGTGGTACAGGGGCAGTATCCCTTCCCCTGAGCCAAGAGACCTGGGTTCAAGCCCCACCTGCTCTAGAGGTGTTCAATAGTATCTCTGAACAGATTTATTAGAATAAAAAAAAGCAGACCCCAGCCCCTCCTCTACAGTTATGTTCATGCCTGGGTGTCATCGTAGAGGGAGCATTTGTTGTGTACAAGTGCTGTCAATGCCTTTAGAGAGATGTGGGCACAGTGGGGATATAGTATTTTATTCCACCGTCCAAGTCCATTTTGGTTTAGCCCCTTTCCCTACAACCCCCTCACTTTTGATGATGTTCATTGTCATGTCAGTATCAAATTAGCGACATGGGTGATTTATTGGTGGTGGTTCACAGTTAAGGGGGAATGAAGCAAAAAAAAATAGTCACAGTGATTGTGCTGGTGGGCAAGTGACTCAGTTGTTTGTGATAGTACTTCTGGGTTAAAAAAATTAAAAAGCAAACTAAGTTCTGAGGGTCTAGGCCCGAAACGTCAGCCTTCCTGCTCCTATGATGCTGCTTGACATGCTGTGTTCATCCAGCTCTACACCTTGTTATCTAAGTTCTGGCAGTGATTGGTAGTTAAAAAGGAGCATTAAAAGAAAGGGTGGTTTGGTAGTGGGGAAGTTATTCAGTTGAATGTGGTAGTACTTAATCACAGCCAGAGACATATACAGCATGGAAACAGGCCCTTCTGTCTCACTTGTACATGCTGACCAGATATCCTAAATAAATCTAGTCCCATTTGCCAGAATTTGGCCCATATCCCTAGAAATCAGACCCAATGTCCCTCTTGTACAGTTATATTCATGCCCGTGTGTCCTCAGAGAGGGTGTCCATCAATGCTGTCAATGTAGCCTCTTCCTTACCCGTCCCTCACCTTTGATGGTTTGTTCCATCTGACCTAGTTCCATTTGCCTGCATTTCACCCATATCCTTCTAAACTTCTCCAATCCATGTACCTGTCCAAAAGTCTTTTAAATGTTGTAATTCTACCTGCCTCTACCACTTCCTCTTGCACCTCATTCCATATACACACCAGGCTCTGCGTGAAAAAGTTGCTCTTCAAGTCCCTCTTCAATCTTTCCCCTCTCACCTGAAACCTCTCCCGTCTAGTTTTGGACTCCCCTATCTTGGGGATGACTTTGCCCATTCACCTTCCCTATGTCCCTCATGATTTAATGTACCTCGATAAGGTCACCCTCAACCTCCTCCACTCCAGGGGAAAAAAGTCCCAGCCTCAACTGTCACTGTATGCAAGTCCAGTCTCCACACCATATGTAGGATGTGATTGCAATGGAAGGGGTGCAGAGGAGATTCACCAGGATGCTGCCTGCGATGGAGCATTTCAGCGATGAGAAGAGGCCAAAAAACTCAGTTTGTTTTCTTTCGAGCAGAGAAGGAGGAATCTGATAGAGGTGTGGAAGATTATGAGGGGCATAGGAAGCAGCTGTTCCCCTTAGTCGAAGGGTCAGTAACAAAGGGGGCATCATTTTTAAGTGAAAGGCAGGAGGTTTAGAGGGGATTTAAGGATCTCTTTATCAACCAGAGGGTGTAGAGGTCTGAAATGCATTGCCTGGGAGACAGGTAACCTCACTATCTTTAAAAATTACTCAGATGAGTACTTGCAGTTTCATAATATTTAAGGATATGGGCCTAATGTGGGAAAGTGGGACTAATGCAGGTAACTATTTTTGGCAGTACAGCTTCAATTGGCTGAAGGGCCTCTTCTTGTATTGTAAATGTTCTGGGTTATGGAAATCCCTTCCATCGACAAATTCTGGCAAATCCTAAGCCTCCCTTTCCTCAATTTTATGGAAAAGATGGTTACATTCCAATACTTCCTTCCTGATCCTACCTTGTTGGCACTCATTGTAACCATTCTAATGTTGGCCGTCTCTACAATGAGGGGTTCGATGCCCCTCTGCTTCTCAATCATTTCTCTCAGCCTCTCGAGCTCCTGAACACACAGCGATCTAAACTGGGTTCTTCTCCTTGAACAGAACGAGATCACACTGCAGTGAATTTGGTGCATCTCTGCCTCAGTCTCTTCGTGCTCATTGTGATGGTGGTCATCATTGTCGAATATTTCAGAAGCAGCTTGCCACTGCCAGGTAAAATTGCCATTACTGCTTTGGTTTTGAATCTTCGATGTTCCCTTACACTCGTTTCTGTTTTTTTTTCCTTGGTGTATTCCCCATTACATTGGCAGACAGTTAGCTGGGTGGCTAGTTTGCTAATGCAGAATGGTGCCAACAGCATGGGTTCAACTGCCATACTGACTGAGGTTACTATGAATGACTCTACTTCTACACCTCATCCCTCGCCTGAGGCGTGGTGACCCTCAGATGAAAATGCAAACCAGTCCCCTCTCTCTGTCTCTAGAGAGACAACAGCCCCATGATCCACAGACTATGGCCTGTCCAAACGTCTTCTAAATTTGGCAAATATACCTGCATCTACCACTTTCTCTGACAGTGCATTCCACATACAAACCACCATCTGTGTGAAAAAGTTGCTCCTCAGGTCCCTTTTAAATCTTTCCCCTTAACCTTACACCTATGCCCTCTGGTTTTGAACTCATCTATCCTAGGGTTAAAGAGCTTGGCTATTCTCCTTATCTATGCCCATCATGATTTTATAAACCTCTATAAAGGCCACACTTCAACCTCATATGGTCCAGGGAAAGAAGTCCCAGACTATCCACTTTCTCCTTATAATTCGAACCCTCCAGTCCCAGTAACATCCTTGTAAATTTTCTCTGCACCTTCTCCAATTTAATAATATTCTTCCGATAGCAGGACAACCAGAATTATATATAGTTCTCGAAAAGTGGCCTTACCAACATCAAATAAGAATCATTGTTTTTCCCGAATGGAATTTTTAAGTGTCAGAGTTGCTGTTGGAGCCTACCTAAATTTTACAGAGTCTGATATATTTTCTCCTTCAATCTGTTTTCTACTCAGTTGTTTTCAGTTAGATAAATCCATCCAAACCTTCGATTTCTCATTCCTTCATCCCTCAATTCAATGTTTGTTCGCATTCCCTTCAATGATGAGCTCACCAGAATATCACCACATGGTTGAATATTGTTGCACAATAGACTGTCGTGTCCAAATGTTTTATCAGGACAAATGAAAGAAATCCTCAACAAAATAGAGGAAAATATGTTACACATTTCAGCAACTGAGCAATGATGAGTAGCAAACGGAAATAGAACCCTGTAGTTTCTCTCTCCAAGACAATTCTACGGCACAATTAATATTAAAGTGCTAACTAATGTGCACCAGGAGGTGATGGCCTAGTGGTATTATCGCTAGGGTTATTAATCCAGAAACTCAGCTCATGTTCTAGGGAACCCAGTTCAAACATAACTGCAGCAAATGGTGGAATTTGAATTCAATAAGAAAATCTGGAAATAAGAGTTGAAACCATTGCCAATTGTCTGTGGAAAAACCCATCTGATTCACTCATGGCTTTCAGGGAAGGAAATCTGTTGTCCTCGAGACAACAAGGTGCAGGGCTGGATGAACACAGCAGGCCAAGCAGCATCATAGGAGCAGAGAGGCTCTGTTGTCGTCGTCTGGTCTACATGTGACTCTAGATGCAAAGCAAGGTTGACTCTCAATTACCCTCTGAAATGGCTTAGCAAGCCAATCAGTTCAAAGGCATTTAGGGACGGGCAATAAATGCTTGCCAGTCAATGACACCCGCATCCCACATACACATTTTCTATGATACATGCAGAAGGACACCCAGAACCCTCTGCACCGAAACACTCTTGAAGATTCTCTCTGTTTAGGGAATGTCACTTTTTTAATCTTCCAACCAAAATGGATAACCTTACACTTATCCAGGTCAAACTCCGTCAGCCAAATATTGGCCCATTCGCCATTCACATCCTTTATCAAGTAAAGGGACCAAATTGTACACCATAGGAGCTAAAGTGATTGGTTGTTTAAGTTCAGGTTCCAGTTAATGGTATCCCCATACTTTGAATAATGGGATAATCAGCACTGGGTAATACCCACAGAATGTCAAGGGGAAATAGTTTAGATTGTCTCTTATCTGACATGGTCCTTTTTTGTCACTTAAATAAGTAACAGAGCCCATGCATGCTGAAGTTTTGAAATAAAGCAGTTTGCAGTGCATGTCCTCAGGTTCATGCAGTTTATGTATAGGGTTGGCTCCAGTGGTCAATGATTTTTCACCAGGCTGCTATCTTTATCAAACACCCTACTTCTTACCTTACTTCAGACTGTCCATTTACCCATCTACTTGCAGGTATATTTTCTGTTACTGCAGGCCTGAAAGTGAAGGGAAGGGATGATACTTTAGAACTGAGATGAGGAGGAATTTTGTCAGTTGGAGTTGGGAGCGGTGAATCTTGGGAACTTATTGGTGCAGAGGACTGTGGAGGCCAAATCAGTGAGTGCCTTTAAGATGGAGATAGAGATGTTCTCGATTGATCAGGGGATCGAGGGTTATGAGGAGCAGGCAGGAGAATGTTTTCTTAACCCCAATCTGCTGTGATCGAATGGCAGATCAGAATCGATGATCTGAATGATTTAATTCTGCTACTATATCTAATGGACTTAGCGGCTCATGGTTATCCATGTGACTCTTTCCCCAATGTAACCCGGTCTACATTGGATTTGCTCATTTGCTACACGTTTATTTGTCTTTCATTTCAATTCAGTCCCTGTTCTATGATATAACCACGGGATATACTTCTCACTCCATGTGTACAGTTCGATACTAATGTATCAAAACCTTGGCTCCATTCAGAAGATATTTTCACAATGTTTGCAGAATGCCCACAAGCTAACATTTTAACATGCGTTCCGTGTTATTATGGCAATACACCATTCTTTTGTTAGCTTTCCACAGGGGACAGAAAGGATCTGTCAAAATACACTGTTCGCGTCTCCACAACGGGAGTATGATGCTCGATGTGGGAATCGAATCACTTGCTGTTTCCAATGTGTCTTCCGAAGATGGGTTCTGATTGTGTGCTTTCTGTTGCTCCCTGCCAATTGTTCCATACTTGTGGCTTCTCCCGAACTGCACACTCTCTCCCCCATACACAGTCAGGAGACTGCAGAGCTTCTTATCCAATCATACAGGATGGAAGAGGCCCTTCAGCCCATCGAATAAGTACCGCCAAATACAGTTCCTTTAGGGGAAAGACTTTATCCAGTCCAGCCGAGATGTGACTCCAGATCCATAGCAATGTGCTTTCATCCCAACTGTCCCTTTGGGCAATTAGGAATGGGCAATAAATGTTTTTCTTTCCAAGAAACAACAGTCCATAAATAATATTAGTTTTGGTTACACAAGGTTCTTGTGCCAGCTCGAGCTAAAAGTTACAAGAGCCGACTAGTCACTTGCATTCAGCAAAACAAACTTTTTTTTTGTTTTCTTGGTGTACATGAGAATCGCTAGCCAGCATTTAGCGTCCGTTCCTAGTTGCCCTTGAGAAAGGGTTAGTATAGCTTGCAAGGCCATTTCAGAGGACAGTTGAGTGTCAACCACGTTATGTGTGTCTCAGGAGTCACATCTCGACAGAAAACAGGTAAGGACAGCAGATTTCCTTCCCTAAAGGTAATAGTGAACCCAATGGGTTCTTACAACAATTGAGAGTGGTCATCCTTAAATGAACTTTTTTTACTCCAGATTTGTACTGAGTTCAAATTTTATCATCTACCATGGTGAGATTTCAATCCACATCTCCAGACCATTAACCTGGGTGTTCTAGATTACCAACCCAGCAACATTACCTTTACACCACTGCATTCCTTAAATGGCTACAACCAAATTCAATACACTCAACATAAACGTTAGATGCATTCAAAAAAACGATTAGCTTCCGATTTCTGGGTTTGACCGTCGCTTCTTGATGAGAAGTAGGGTCGAAGGGTCATGGTTCAACCTCTTTTGGTGACTGAAACCACGATGGATCACAGAATGACGAGACAGACGACTTAGCACAGCACCACATTTCTCCTGTTGGACTTCTATTTCTTCCTAATCATCTCCTTCATGATCACTTCACTCATTTCCTGTGGTTCTCAGGGTCTTCCTTCAGGAAGAGGAGTGAATGATTTAATCATCAGAGTACAGTGTGCAATGGTTAAGTCATTGAATGTGCCTGATTGGCAGCCAAAGTTGAACATTGCCTCCCAGCTCATTCCCAGGACAGGTGACATCCTCATGGCATTATCATTCACCTATTAATCCAGAGAAGCAAATAAAGACCTGGGTTCAAATCCTGCCATGGCAGACAGCAGGATTTGACTTCCATTAAAATAAAACCTGGAAGTAAGAGCCTAATGACGATCATTGTCAGAAAATCCCATCTGGTTCATTAATGTCTTTCAGGGAAGGAAATCTGCTATCCTTACCTGGTTTGGCCTACATGTGACTGCAGACCCACAGCAATGTGGCTGACCCTTAACTGCCCTCTAGGTAATTAAGGATGGGTAGTAAGACCTGGCTCTTTCGGTGATGCTCACATCTTATGAATGAATGAAAAGAAAGTCAATTTAAAAAAATATATAACCACAAATTTCTGGAAAAAAACTCAACAGGTCAGGCAGCTTCTGTGGAGAGAAATCAGAATTAAACATTTTGGGACCAGTGACCCTTCTTTAGAACTGATGCTAGTGAGGAAAATGTTGATATATACATACTGGAGAAGGTTGGAGGGAGAAAGAGTAAATGATAGGTGGAGAGGGAGCCCGGAAAGAGAGAAAAAACATTTGGGCAGACAAAGGAGCGAGTGAAGGTCAGCCTGGGAGAATTAATAGCTGCTAATGGGGACTGTCAGTGGCTGACGTTGGGTTGATGTGGTAGCAGCCCATGTGATGACAAGGCCTGGTGTGTGGGTTTGGGATAAGGACATTGGGGTAAGGAGCACACCTACATTCTGTCCGTTAAAATGACCCTGAGCTTCTGGTTGACTACCATTTCAGCACCACACTTTGTTCCATCCCAGCCAATATTTCTGACTCGGGGTCTTGCCGCAGTGCCCCAGCCAAGCTCAACACAAGGTGGAAAAAACAGCTTCTAATTTTCTGCTTGGGGACCCTGCAACATGCTGAATATTTTACGT